GCGTGTAACTATCTTTGACTCAAACCCTCATTCATCCTGCACTATGCCCCCAATAGCTGGGCTTGGTTTAGGGCATTCCAAAGAGAGTAGTGGAAAGGAATCCTCCCATACTCCCAGACAGCTGAGATGCTCCATGACAGTTATTGCAACCATGAGGCTGCAGGAGCTCCTGCCCCTTTTACTCCTCTTTTCCCACTCCACAGGGGTAATGGACAATAGCGGTGGATCTATTGGCTCTGTCCTTCAGTCTTCTCTCATCCGATTCTTGCCCCACAACCCTTTGCACAGGGATAAGTCATAGTCTTCATGGAGCTCTGTGACATGGAGGGTGTCTGCTTCCTTGGTACAGGTTCTAGAAACCCTGCACCACCACCTGTGTAGCAGAAGTGCTCCAGAACTGGTCCAATGCTTCTAGAGTTCTCAGCAACTACATCTGAGGGGGCATGTTTTTGTCTTATATAGGCATTTTCATTTTCAAAGCACTTTTCAAACCTTAACTAATTCTCACAGTATCCCTTGTAGTAGGTATTTTCCTCATTTTATAGAAGAAGAAACTGAGACAGACAGGCTAAAGCCCACACTTTCAAAAGTGCCACTGCAGAGGTCTCCATTTGGGCACTCAAAAATTTAGGCACCTAAAATTACTGGACACCTTTGAAAACATTGACCCATGTGATGTGCCCAAGGCTGTGCAAGAAGTCTGTGTCTGAACAGGAATTAGAACTCAGGAGTTCTAGGCTCACAGCACTGTGATCAAATTCTCTCTCCCATCTTTCACTCCAAAGGGAATTATTCACACAAATTCCCTGCATTGATCAGTGAGAAAGTTGATCCCTTAGTTTTCAGTTTCCTTCTTTTACTGGTTTTGTCACAACTTTAACAATACCGGACATCAATGGGAGTTGCAGTGTGGAGTGGGGGCAGTGTATGGCCCTTAAGCATAGTTTTTGCATGTTAATACATGAGAAAGTGATGTCTTATTTGTTCTGTAACTGACAGAATAATGTACAGAAAGCACATAAGTATGAAGAGGGGTTAGTTAGATAATGTTGAACAGAGCATCTTCAAGACAACACTATAACCAGTGTAATTCAAATGTCAGGCTAATTGTTATCAGCATTTAATGTTATCATGGGCCATTTTTAATAGTGGAATTTTTCAGCAGGTACTGTAATGGTCAGAAGAAAATGTGACATGTAGCTGCTGCTGTTGCATTGTTCATAAAAGTACAAAAAATAAGAAAAAAAGAAAATTATTTCTACCAACAGCAAAAGGAACAGCTTGTTTGCTTAAATCTGACTGTAAAATTAATCCATTTGCTGATACTATTTGAAGTATCATTTACTTTCAGGAAGAATAGAGGAGGTTTGCTATAATACAGTTATGTGAAGTGCAAATAATGCTTATTAGAGATAAACCACAAACCCTTTAAATATAGGTTTTTAGAAATTCATATTCAGGCATGTATTACTGCTCCGAGTTGTTATGAAGCAATTTAAGTATCAGCTTTATACCCTTTGGTAACCCCATATTACACCTAGAGCTTTACAGAAAATGAAATTTTAAGATAATTCACCCCAAAATGGCACATGATGACATTAATTCAGATATTTTTCATATGTACATAGTTTGATCTGATCCCTCACCTACCATGTAAACAAAGTATTATATGGCAAATTTCCTGTGATACAGTACAGTACTGTGATACAGTACAGTACCTGCATATAATTATGGGCACATTTTGCCAATGCAACTGTTACACAGATTTGTAATTAATTCCTTTAAAGATTGCTGTTAGAGTTTTGGATACTGATGCTGGTTTTGGACATTTATTACTGCTCTTTAGTTGGCTATTTGCTGTGCCTCAGAGACAGATGTAAAATTAGTGTCTATTTTGAGCCAGCAAACAGTACATCTTTCCTCCTGTTTATTGAATTGCAGGGAGGAATTCTTTGGGCTCCCACTTCTTTGTGGTTTTGAAGTAACAGTCTGTTTTTGTGCCAACCATGTAGCTTCAATGCATGTGTAAAATTTTGTTGAGGATCAAGCTAGAAGTTGCTTACTTAACCTAATGGAAAAACACAGTATGAAGTTAGGATGCATTGTGTAGGAGGGCTTTCATTTCTCGACACTGAGTAAAACTTTATGCATCACAAATGCAAAAATAGTAATCAGTTTAAAATGCACTGAGTATATTCTGCCTGATGACCCACATTTAAAAGAAACAACTATTAGTTATCACTAAAATTTTTTTTTCTTCTTGTTAAGAGAAAACTACATTTCTGAGGTCTGCTTGTGCTGACAGTGATAGTGATGGACAACTTATCAAAAAAGGGAAGCAAATACCATAATGATCTTACTTTTAATTTCACAATGTAGAAACCTTTCGTTCGAGTACCCTTAGTTATGATTCCATACAAATATTTTTGTTCAAAGTAAAAAAAAAAAATCTCCCACAATTACAAATGGACAAATCCAGTCACTGGACTGAAATATGAAA